CCCGTCGCGATATTGGATTCTTATGCGTTCCGATTTTATACGCGTATTATTTTATAACAAAATATTTTTGCACGTAAAATAGCGCGAGTTTTCTTCATATATCCGATATATGATCTGGTTAAGTCCAGAGGAACGTGTTATTCTTTCAAGAGAGTAAAAGCTATGCTATAGTCATTTCCTATACGAAAAATACGTGCATCGTGTATTTTAATCGTTTTATGTTTACTTTGTCGCTCAAATATTTTTTATACCGCATTAATGTGTCTTTGTTATTAAAATATCCGCACCATTTGCCACATTTAATTTCATTAAATTCTTAATTATTATTATATAAACAATAAAAGCATCGAACATTCTCTGATATTTAATTCGCAATCAATAAGAGTTTAAATAAACATAATCATAAAAATATATATAACACACAATAATATAAAATTAATTTAGTATAACAAAAGCTTTTCATGAATATAATAATAATTTTCTCTTCTATCACTTTCGTGATTACTATGCTGAATTTAAAAAAATTTAAAATCATCAGACTAGAAAGTATTGAAGCGACGATCGCAAATACCGCAAATCTGGGTTAAAAGGGCGACCTCGACTCGATGGCTTTTGTAGATCCGAGAGGAAGGGTTTAATGTGGAGTTCCCACTGTTCTCGGAGTACGTTGAGTGCCGCAGATGACGCAAACTCGTTTGCAAGATATTCTTCTAGCATTCGTAAAGAGCATTCTTGAAAAACACGCGCTCTAACAACTTGCCGCCCTATTCGCAGATAAGTTATGAGAATTAAGGAGAAAACTAACGCGGACTTCCGTAGTACGCATAAGAACGGTAAACAATTTGTACAAAGTAAAATCGGAAATGACGTATGGAATTTTTTTTAATTTTAGTGCCAAGCGCGCTTTTTAAAAGTATCCCGGTATATATTTTGGCGATAATTTTTGTTTATCTTTTTATTTATATTATTTTTATGAATGAAATAGAGAAAATGTAAAAACATAAATTTTAAGACCCAAAATCTCAGAAAAATTAAACATTTTTCCTAATAAAAATTTATTCGAATTTTCATGCTTAGAAAGTGTGAGAAATCAAATAAAAAGTAGCAGGCAGAACAATATTTAATTATTACCGATTCACGTAAATTTGAAGGTGTTTAAAAGCTTGAGATTAATATACATAGCTCTTTTATTTGAGATTAATTAATTCTAAGCAATTCTATGAAAGTTCTGTTGTTTTTTAGTTAATATAAAAAATAATTAATTACATTTTTTGTTACTAAATACAGATATAGATATTCAAATATAGACGTAATGCGTAATTCTATGTTTCATTCTCTGTAATTAATTTTATAATTGCGATGTATTGTACACCGCAATATATCTTCTTTCCGTCTACAGGAATGCAAATACACCTCAGGTTAATAAAAACGTAAATAAAAACTCTAAATAATATTTCTGATTTCTTTTGTGTAGTCATATTATAACACACTTTGTATCGTAAATAAAGTTGCCAAATAAAAAATTCCTAAATTTTCTAGGAATGCTATTTGTAAGATGTATAAATATTTATGCACAAAGAGAGAGAGAGAGAGAGAGAGAGAGAGAGAGAGAGAGAGAGAGAGAGAGAAAGAATATTATATACATATGATTCTCTTATTTAATGAGAGAGATTAAATTAAGTAACTTTGAATAACTTCTCTAAAAATTTCGTTTTTTTTCTGTGTTAATATAGAAAATAATGTAAAACAATACTATTTTTCATGACCGAATGCAAATATAAACGTAATGTCTACTTCGTATAATTATTATATTACATGATTGTTACAAAGTTTTAAGTTTTACAAAGCGAAAAAAAAGAATCAGTTTTACGAAATATCTTTTTTCGCGGTACAGTAAAATTTCTACAGCTTCAAATTTCAGAATAATCCGTCTGAATTAAACGATCAAGGAGACCGAAGAGATATACGGAATATTTCTTTACAGTCACTTTCGTCTCGCCCAATTGAGCGAATTGCACGTAGTGCGTCACGCAAAAGTATGCGTGAGTACTTAAGTACTTATCCCAAGTGGCGATAAATACTTATCACAAGTGATGGCGTTCAACCGTCGAGAAGGCGTGGATAACACTAATAGCCGCACGGGTAATTAAACGCGGCGAATACATAAATACACGTCATTAACTCGTCGCTCAAAGAGTTTGCCGGGGCACGATTAAGTCCTTTAGGGCCCAGCGCACGCCATTCATTCGACGGGGACCCCTCGGCATCGAGACGCAATTTTCGTATATCTTTCTTCGTCCGTGTAATACTAGCTTAATATTACTGGTCGAAGAGTTCAGTTTTTCGCACTTTATGCCACCTTCTCGTAACGAAATGGAGGATATCGGTTCTCCGGCCACGTGACTAACTTCCGGGAAAAAATGCGAGTAAAAAAAAAGCGCCGAGTTACAAACAGTGAGTTAAATTACAAATCCCTCTTCCTCACCCCGCTGGACAGATTAATAAAGATCTATCGCAAGAATGTTCACATCTATAGGCTACTATCAATCTTACAATCTCTGTTGTAGTAAATGATGCGTGTAATTGCAATCATTTCGTCAAGTCACATCGATATCTTAATTTATAACTAGAAACAGATAGATCCTGGCCGCTTTTCCTTATTTTAAATAGTAATGATTTGAAATAATTTTAGATTTTATTTTAACAGTTTTAAACTTAAAAAAAACTTTGATTACTCACAAAAATTTTAGAGGCACCCAAAAATTTATGTTTCCTATTTTAAAAGAGTGACACAATTTAAAAAAAATTGAAAGAACATGATTTTTGTGTTATTACTATAAATAAAGTAAATATTACCATGTCAAAATTAATTTAACTTTATAAAAAATTGTTTTAAAGTGTCAAAATGTTACAACTAAAAAAAATTGTAAAAAATTGTAAAAAAGTTATTATTAAAAATGGTTTGAACAAAAATCATCACAATTCAAAAAGATTAGTCTTTTTAAGAATTACGAAAAAAATGAAAACAGCAAAAATAACATTTAATCACATTAAGGTCATGATGTAATAAAATAAGTGTAACAGTCCCGTGCACGCATAAGTAAATTTGAGCTTATTTAATTGGCATTGCAGTATGCCCTTTTATGTTACGTTAACCCCTGTTTTTTTACATCACAATTATAAGGCTGCATGTCAAAACTTTATTCTAAAAGAGCAAAATGAATATCGAGCCATAAGTTAACTCTTTTACTCGGAGTAAAATTAATTTTTTGTTGATATGACAATATTTCAAATTTTCTGTCGAATTAAAAACTTAATATTTTTAGTTGTGTCACTTTTTATTAAGGAAACAATACGTTCTTTTAGTGTCAAAAAATATGTTTGTGTTCGAGTTAACGTATATATGTAATATAGATTTTATTATATAAATAGCAACGTAATATAAATTTATTTATAATATAATTTTTTTATTGAAAATATACTTAATTCGGTTAAATATTGTATAACCATACAACAAACTTTATCCAAGAAGACATTAATTCCAAGTCCTTAGAACTTTCGTTCAAAAGACACGGACCCGTTTTCATAATATATATATATGATTACCTAAAGATTAAAGATTATCAAAAAATTCATCAATAAAATTCATTAATGAATTTCTTGATAACCTTTAATCTTTCGATAATCATAGATTGTAAGAACGGTAGAGACATTCTCTGGATCTTCACCCAAACAGCATTGTTTAGATTGTTTAGAAGTCCTCTTTATGATGTCTATTACATATATTGTTTAGGCCTAATTTCATCAATCTAAGATTAGCTTTAATCTCGATTTAACTTATTGTTCATATCTTTTTTTAAATCTTAAAATTTAAAAAAATAAAAAATTGAATCGAGATATATACATATATACATAATAATTAAAATTAATTTTGGAAGCAATGTTGAAACCGAGCTTTATTATACGACTCGCGTGTATTAACGTTAGTTTAACTTTAAGCGAGGCTTAAAACTCTCTCTCTCTCTCTCTCTCTCTCTCTCTCTCTCTCTCTCTCTCTCTCTCTGTCTGTCTTTCTCGACTTTTTCGAGTAGGATGTCCCTTGGAAGTCGAATCTGTGCTGTATGAAACAGAATAAATACCTAGAAATATTTAACAATCTCGGCGAAAGAGGCACGGAATTCGTTGCATGTAACTACCTTAAATTTTCCCTGTATCTCTCAAAATATAACGCGTATTTTTCCACAAGTAAAAGAATTCGATCTTACAATTGTTAGCAAGATCCGAAGTATAATATATAGCCGCTAGATTCAAAGTAGCTTACCAGATTTATCCCTGTTTCCTCGTTTTTTTTTGTGTATCACGCGATTGGCACAGTCAACCCTCTGGGAGCCGCTTTCTCCGGGATTTTTCGTCGAATCAGTCGAATGCTGTCGAGTATGATGAGTGCGTTAATTCCGTTTCTCGCATGATATAGGCATAATGCATTGTTTATCCTTGTTGCTCATCAAATGTTAAACAAGGACAATAGATGCATCATGCACAATGCGGAACGCACCAAAAATTTCAAGGATATAAATTTGTTACTTTTACATAAAGTTTACGAACTTATTTTGAAACGCGCACGCGCACTTCAATATACGAACTACAAGAGGCGGGATGAGCTATGGCTGCGTTTGGGGAAACTATCAGCATTATTTGTGTCGTGCTATCCTTGTCTCACCTTTAATGGACGACGAAAATAGAATTATGACACAAATAACGTTAATGTAGCGTCTCCTCTTGTCCTCCGACGCGCAGGCTGTATTCACGCGCGCAAAAACAAATTAACTAAATAATACGTCAAGCGCCATCTGTTAGAGGTTCATGAAACGATCGGCGCGTAGCTATAATAAACATGGCGTCGCCCTTGATTGTGATATTATTAGCTTAACCTTTTCAGCAGCTGAGTGAGAAAAGTTCCGTCATCATACCTATATAAGAAACGTTTTAATAATAATGCATTTAATGTCGTGAATTCAATAAACGAAATAGACACGCCGAAAAGTACATGCCGGCATAATTAATAGACGTTAGTTCAATATATATCACAAATTATAAAATATTAATATATTACAAAAATGTCTGTGTTACGTGCTGCGTTTTTCACATATCATATTAATGGTTCTGTTATTCCAAGGTAATCATGAATTAACTTTTGCCTCTAATTGTGTCTAAAATTATTATATTGTACAAATCTTTAAAGAGAAAATATGAGTATAAAAATATATAAGCATGATATATAAAAATAATAAAGAATGTTATACACACACATGCTGCATCATATATTTATATTATTTGTCACAATAAAGACTCTATTATTTCAAGATTATATGAATTACTTTTATCTCTAATTTTGTCTAATTGTATCGCACATAAATCTCTAAAGAGAAAATATGAGTATAAAAATATATAAACATTATACATAAAAATCTTAGGATTAGAATAATTTGAGACAATAATAAGCTTATTATTTTGATGATACACATTGTATTGAATCAATTTTTATTTAATTAATTTTAGGTATTCCTTGCAGAAGTGTTTTCTACAAGGAAAGAGTCAGAATTTATTGGGAACAGCAAAGCGTGAACTTAGTAAAATTATTCAAAGATGTGCCAAAGAAAATGTGGACAAGCCAAAGCTTCTCTCGTACATTCAGAAATTTGGCTTTGGTGGGCTTGGTGTGACGGTTGCTTGTATTTTAAAATCACGCAATCAAATTGTGTTCTGCAAAGAAGTTAAAAGAACAAGTGACATAAGTCTGGTCAATCCAGATAACTCTGTTGAATCATTGATCTTTGAATGGACAAAATTTTTTAAATATTTATATCCACATATCTGGTATTTATTAATAGCACTGTCAGTAAGTATTCATAAATATGTGAAAATGATAAATTTCATATTATTGCAAAAATATAGTGATAATCTCCATTTATAGAGTGCATTAATAGTTGCATTATTAAATATACAAATACCGCAATGTGTTGGAAGTGTTATAAATGTACTTACGGAAATATGTCAGAATAAACAAGATTCTGCAAAACAAGTCATTCTGCAGCTTACTCAACCAGCTTTTACTTTGGCGCGTATGTACATTGTGCAAGTATGTAATTACAATATTTTTTTCAATATCTTTTTATAAAATTTCACATATTCGTCTTTAAATATCAGATATTTATCTTTCAAGGCATTTTTTACTTTTGTATATATTTATACTCTGTCACACGTTGGTGAAAGGGTTGCAATGAGCTTACGCCAAGATTTGTTCAAATCCATTATTATGCAAGACATAGCGTTTTTTGACAAAACACGTTCTGGTGAAATAGTAAGTCGATTGACCAGTGATATTCAAGATTTTAAAAGTTCATTTAAAATCTGCATTTCTCAAGGCTTGAGAAGCTTCACGCAAATTATTGGTTGTATCGTCTCTGTAATAGTGATATCACCGCAGTTAACCACTCTTGTGGTACTCAGTTTGCCTCCAATAATTTTTGTCGGTACTCTGCTGGGAAGAAGTTTGCGCATGCTGTCGATGGAAGCGCAAAATCAAGTTGCAAAGTCTACAGCTGTCTGCGAGGAAGCTATACAAAATATCCGAACGGTATTTTAAAAATAATAAACTGACAGAAATACAAAATAATTTTAATACTGCACTGTATTTTTTGTATCAGGTGAGAGCTTTCGCCGCAGAGGAGAAAGAAGCGGAAATGTTTTACAAAGAGATTGAACATTCGTCTGATCTATATGAACGATTAGGTTTTGGTATAAGCTTTTTTCAAGCAGGAACGAATTTATTGCTTAATGGTATTCTACTTTCTACACTGTACTTTGGTGGACAATTACTCTCAACAGGACAGTTGTCTCCGGGAAATCTCATGGCATTTTTAATGGCTACACAAACCATACAAAAGTCTTTGGGCCAATTGTCGGTACTTTTCGGAACTTTTGTTAGAGGACAGAGTGCTGGGGCTAGGGTTTTTCAGGTAATTTAATTGGATTATACATAATTTTATAATAACTTTACCTAAATTTATAAATGAGAACTAATCGTTTTTTTAGTATTTAGATATGCCACCTTCATCAATGATGATCGGTGGTGACATAATCGCGGATAAATCTTTAGCGGGGAATATAGTTTTCAAAGATGTGAATTTCAGTTATCCCACTAGACCTGATCACGTTATTTTGAAAAATTTTAACTTACATATTCCCGCTGGGAAAACTGTGGCTATTGTTGGTACTAGTGGTAATGGTAAATCAACAGTGGCTGTATTATTAGAAAGGTATGATCTTACAAATAATCATGTGCATTTTATTTGAAGTTTAAAAAAATGTATACCTACAATTATAGATATTATGATGTTGATAAAGGCTCCATTACTATTGACGGTCGAGATATCAGATCTCTTAATTCAAGTTATCTCAGAGGTAATGTTTTAGGCTATATCAATCAAGAGCCTACTTTATTCGCTACCAGCATTATGGAAAATATAAGATATGGAAAACAAGACGCAACAGATGAAGAGGTAAAAATAATTAAAATTAATGAGTATTGATACACACACACACAAAATATTTTACATAATTTGATCAATTTAGGTCATTGAAGCAGCTAAAGAAGCAAATGCACACGAATTTATAATAAAGTTCCCAGATAGCTACGCGACTGAGGTTGGTGAAAGAGGTACGCAACTCTCTGGTGGACAAAAGCAACGGGTTGCTATCGCCAGAGCCTTATTAAAACAACCGTCTGTTTTAATTTTGGATGAAGCAACAAGGTGTGTGCTAGAAATAACGAGATTATACATATAAGATTCATCTTGGTATTTATCTACTTGTCTGGTTTTTAGTGCATTAGACTATGAAAGCGAGAGAGTTGTTCAAAAAGCGATTGAAAATGTTACAAGAGATAGAACAGTTCTTGTCATTGCTCATAGATTGAGTACCATTAAAGGAGCTGACGTAATTGTCGTGTTACAACGTGGTGTCATTGTGGAGGTATGCTTTAATCGATAAAATTAACGTCATGTTTTTATTATTATTATAATATATACTATTATTATAATATTATATACATATATAAAATAAATGTTTTTTAGATGGGCACACATTCGGAATTGATTAAACGGAAAGGAGTATATTACACGCTTGTTAACGAGCAGGAAAAAGAGAATATGTAATAGTAATAAGATATAGAACAAATTACATTGTACAAACGGTTAATGTGAAACCATAAATAGGTATCATTATTTGTTACTATTTTCCCGTTTTATAAATTAATATTTTCTTCATATCTCGATATACATGTACAAAAGAATGGATTTATGCCTTAAGCTTTATCTACAATAGTCGCACAAGAGGTATCGTAAGTGGTAAGCTTGCTGTATAATAGCCATTTGATGCGTCAATTTTAATATTAACGCATCAGATTGGCTGTCGCAACAAGCTTGCGACCTGTAATATGGATTATGCAACTATTGTTGATGAAGCCTTGTGTAAATTACTCGCGACTACCTCAGAAACGGGAATCAAATTACAAATATCATACAATAAATTATTATTTTATCTATTCGTATTATATACAAATATACACCTTTCAACAACGATAATATCTAGTCTTCAAAAAACCATATAATTCTATATAATTTATGAATTTATTTAAGATGTATATATCTGTTTATAATATTAGACCATTTTATTCAGTGACAAAAGTAGGAGATGTTTCCGTGCTATCTTTACTATTTTGCATTACTAGATCTGTGTCTGAAATAAGTGATTCTTGTACAGAATGTATTGTATTGTTGCAATGTGCAGTTACTTCTTTTGAAATCAAAGTGGAATCCATCATTGGTGTTAAATATAATTTATCAGTATTGTCGGATAAATACGGAGCAGAAACACTTTCAACTTTATCTGGCGCAAATAAATTAACACATACAAGTTTACTGTCTATCGAAGGAATAGCATGGGATAACCATTCCAAAGTAATTTGATCAACAACTGCCTGTTACGATAAAGTAGCAAATGTCGACGGAGAAGATAAAACATTAGAATCGTTATACTTCGGACTATCCGCGATTGGATCGGTATTCAAATTTTATGTGTGGTCTTCAATGTTTCTGTACTGTCCTGTAACCGCATTTTGCATTTCTTCATCTATCTTCGATGACATGTGGTAATTGGAGAAGATTCTATATTCTTCCGTAATCACTTTTTATATTTTTTCATCTATATTCAGTGGTACGTCACCAGTTGGAGAAGATTCTAGTACATCAGTTACTGTTAGTGCTGTATACTAATCAACAGAATCTGTGTTAAAAGTTGACGGCGGCATTATACTGCCTTCATTATTTTTAAATTGTTCTGTAGTTGCATCTTGCTTCTTTTCGTCTATATTCGGTGAAGCATCGCTAATTGGAGAAGATTCTGGTACATTACTTATTGTTGGTGCCAGATCAACCGAATCTGTATTAATGTTCGATGGCGTTATTGTACTATCTTCGTTTTCATATTGTTCTGCGATCGCATCTTGCGTTTTTTCATCTACGTTTGATAACACATCACTGATTGGAGAAGATTCTGGTACATTACTTATTGTTGGTGCTAAGCGTAGATCAACTGAATCAATATTCACATTCGATGGCGGCATCACACTGTCTTCATTATTTTTAAATTGTTCTGTAGCTGCATCTTGCTTCTTTTCGTCTATATTCAGTGAAGCATCGCTGATTGGAGAGGATTCTGGTACATTACTTATTGTTGGTGTCGAGTGTAGATTAACTGAATCAATATTCACATTCGATGGCGGCATCACACTGTCTTCATTATTTTTAAATTGTTCTGTAGCTGCATCTTGCTTCTTTTCGTCTATATTCAGTGAAGCATCGCTGATTGGAGAAGATTCTGGTACATTACTTATTGTTGGTGCCAGATCAACCGAATCTGTATTAATGTTCGATGGCGTCATTGTACTATCTTCGTTTTCATATTGTTCTGCGATCGCATGTTGCGTTTTTTCATCTACGTTTGATAACACATCACTGATTGGAGAAGATTCTGGTACATTACTTATTGTTGGTGCTGAGCGTAGATCAACTGAATCAATATTCACATTCGATGGCGGCATCATACTGTCTTCATTATTTTTAAATTGTTCTGTAGCTGCATCTTGCTTCTTTTCGTCTATATTCGGTGAAGCATCGCTGATTGGAGAGGATTCTGGTACATTACTTATTGTTGGTGTCGAGTGTAGATTAACTGAATCAATATTCACATTCGATGGCGGCATCACACTGTCTTCATTATTTTTAAATTGTTCTGTAGCTGCATCTTGCTTCTTTTCGTCTATATTCGGTGAAGCATCGCTGATTGGAGAAGATTCTGGTACATTACTTATTGTTGGTGCCAGATCAACCGAATCTGTATTAATGTTTGATGGCGTCATTGTACTATCTTCGTTTTCATATTGTTCTGCGATCGCATCTTGCGTTTTTTCATCTACGTTCGATAACACATCACTGATTGGAGAAGATTCTGGTACATTACTTATTGTTGGTGCCAGATCGACCGAATCTGTATTAATGTTCGATGGTGTCATTGTGCTATCTTCGTTTTCATATTGTTCTGCGATCGCATCTTGCGTTTTTTCATCTACGTTCGATAACACGTCACTGATTGGAGAAGATTCTGGTACATTACTTATTGTTGGTGTTGAGTGTAGATCAACTGAATCAATATTCACATTCGATGGCGGCATCATACTGTCTTCATTATTTTTAAATTGTTCTGTAGCTGCATTTTGCTTCTTTTCGTCTATATTTGGTGAAGCATCGCTGATTGGAGACGATTCTGGTACATTACTTATTGTTGGTGCCAGATCAACCGAATCTGTATTAATGTTCGGTGGCGTCATTGTGCTATCTTCGTTTTTATATTGTTCTGCGATCGCATCTTGCGTTTTTTCATCTGCGTTTGATAACACATCACTGATTGGAGAAGATTCTGGTACATTACTTATTGTTGGTGTCGAGTGTAGATCAACAGAATCAATATTCACATTCGATGGCGGCATCATACTGTCTTCATTACTTTTAAATTCTTCTGTAGCTACATCTTGCTTCTTTTCGTCTATATTCGGTGATGTATTGCTGATTGGAGACGATTCTGGTACATTATTTATTGTTGGTGCCAGATCGACCGAATCTGTATTAATGTTCGATGGCGTCATTGTGCTATCTTAAGTATTGCTGATTGGAGACGATTCTGGTACATTACTTATTGTTGGTGCCAGATCGACCGAATCTATATTAATGTTCGATGGCGTCATTGTGCTATCTTCGTTTTCATATTGTTCTGTAGCTGCATCTTGCGTTTTTTCATCTACGTTGGATAACACGTCACTGATTGGAGAAGATTTTGGTACATTACTTATTGTTGGTGCTGAGTGTAGGTCAACTGAATCAATATTCACATTCGATGGCGGCATCATACTGTCTTCATTATTTTTAAATTGTTCTGTAGCTGCATTTTGCTTCTTTTCGTCTATATTTGGTGAAGCATCGCTGATTGGAGACGATTCTGGTACATTACTTATTGTTGGTGCCAGATCAACCGAATCTGTATTAATGTTCGGTGGCGTCATTGTGCTATCTTCGTTTTTATATTGTTCTGCGATCGCATCTTGCGTTTTTTCATCTGCGTTTGATAACACATCACTGATTGGAGAAGATTCTGGTACATTACTTATTGTTGGTGTCGAGTGTAGATCAACAGAATCAATATTCACATTCGATGGCGGCATCATACTGTCTTCATTACTTTTAAATTCTTCTGTAGCTACATCTTGCTTCTTTTCGTCTATATTCGGTGATGTATTGCTGATTGGAGACGATTCTGGTACATTATTTATTGTTGGTGCCAGATCGACCGAATCTGTATTAATGTTCGATGGCGTCATTGTGCTATCTACGTTTTCATATTGTTCTGTAGCTGCATCTTGCGTTTTTTCATCTACGTTCGATAACACGTCACTGATTGGAGAAGATTCTGGTACATTACTTATTGTTGGTGTCGAGTGTAGATCAACAGAATCAATATTCACATTCGATGGCGGCATCATACTGTCTTCATTACTTTTAAATTCTTCTGTAGCTACATCTTGCTTCTTTTCGTCTATATTCGGTGAAGTATTGCTGATTGGAGACGATTCTGGTACATTACTTATTGTTGGTGCCAGATCGACCGAATCTATATTAATGTTCGATGGCGTCATTGTGCTATCTTCGTTTTCATATTGTTCTGTAGCTGCATCTTGCGTTTTTTCATCTACGTTGGATAACACGTCACTGATTGGAGAAGATTTTGGTACATTACTTATTGTTGGTGCTGAGTGTAGGTCAACTGAATCAATATTCACATTCGATGGCGGCATCATACTGTCTTCATTATTTTTAAATTGTTCTGTAGCTGCATTTTGCTTCTTTTCGTCTATATTTGGTGAAGCATCGCTGATTGGAGACGATTCTGGTACATTACTTATTGTTGGTGCCAGATCAACCGAATCTGTATTAATGTTCGGTGGCGTCATTGTGCTATCTTCGTTTTTATATTGTTCTGCGATCGCATCTTGCGTTTTTTCATCTGCGTTTGATAACACATCACTGATTGGAGAAGATTCTGGTACATTACTTATTGTTGGTGTCGAGTGTAGATCAACAGAATCAATATTCACATTCGATGGCGGCATCATACTGTCTTCATTACTTTTAAATTCTTCTGTAGCTACATCTTGCTTCTTTTCGTCTATATTCGGTGAAGTATTGCTGATTGGAGACGATTCTGGTACATTACTTATTGTTGGTGCCAGATCGACCGAATCTATATTAATGTTCGATGGCGTCATTGTGCTATCTACGTTTTCATATTGTTCTGCGATCTTATCTTTCGTTTTTTCATCTACGTTTGACACTTCGCTGATTGGAGGCGATTCTGCTACCTTATTTACTATCGGTGTCGTGTATTGATCAAGCGTCTCTATATTAAAATTCGACGGCGTCATAGTGGTATCTTCGTTGTTTCTATATTGTTCCGTTATTGCATCTTGCACTTTTTCATCTACATTTGTTGTCACGTCACTGGTTGGAAAAGATTCTGGTACATTACTTATTGTTGGTGCCAAATTAACCGAATCTGTATTAAAGTTCAATGGCATTATTGTGCTATCTTCGGTATTTTTATATTGTTCTATAATCGCATCTTGTAGTTTTTCATCTACGTTTGATAACACGTCGCTGACTGGAGAGAATTCTGATATATTACTTATTGTTTGTGTCGAGTGTAGATCAACTGTATCAGTATTCGAATTCGATGGCGGCATTATGCTGTCTCCATTATTTTTATATTGTTCTGTAGCTGCATCTTGCATTTTTTCGTTTATATTTAGTGAAACGTCACTGATTGGGGTAGATTCTCGTGTCTTACTTGTTGGTACCGGGAACAGATCAACTGAATCGTTTTTAAAATTCGGTGATGTCTCTGTGCTGTCTTCGTTGTTTGTATATTGTTCTGAAATCGAATGCAATGTGTCATTGAATTCTGTCGTTAATGGGGATGTAATTTGTAAATTTAATAGTGATGATCCGTCCTCTTTATTAGGTCCTTCGTCAAATGCTTTTTGCATGGTTTCAGATTGATTCGGAGTTTGATTGTACATCATCTTTTCGTCGATACCATCAAAAATTGTATCTTCTTTGGATGGATTTGGCGAAATCGCCTTGTTACTTGACTCTTCGTTATCATTATCGTTGTAATTATTCTCTGACTGTGGTCCTATTTCATTTATAGGTGTAGTAGTGATAACATCAAAAGTCTTGAAATTTACATTTTCCTCTTTTTCTAGAGTAGAATCGTCTGTGCTGGTTTTATTGTCTTTGAGTATTTCAGAAATTTCTTTCGCGTTTTCATCTCCAGCTTCATTGAGACTTGAAGATTCCACATTTTCGTCAGGGGCATTTGGAACACAAACTGCAGTACCTACCGAGTTGTCGTTCATACAATCTGTCACAGTATTGCAAACACCTTTGTCTACTTGATATCCTGTGTTTTGTGGACATTTAAAGACGCTCTGATAAAGTCGATGTCCATTCGTGTCGCACGTATAGAACATGGAACAATAACCGGGCACGGGAAATCGACCATATTTCGTGCAACGTGGCATTCTAACATGATCGTAATGCGTATAGTCGTCTGGTGAAATAATACTGGGAGTTAATTTACTTGAATCGTAGGAAACACATCGCTGCAGACGATTGTCAAAGATCTGCCTGTTTGCACATTGCGCCAGAATCGATTTGTTGCGCTTACAGATGTGATAATATAGAGAGCTTTTACAATGCGGTTTCAAGACGTTGACGCCACATGATCGACCGTTTTCAATGTGAAGCACTTTGCCGCCTCCTGGTACACCTAGACAACGACCTTCTTCCTGATCATAGTACTGATTGAACTTGCAATAATGTATAGTAGCGGGTCTAATTGCTCGTTGACGTCTGATTATCTGCAGTTCCACAGCATCTTTTTTTGTATTGTCAGTGTACTGCAAAAGTGATTTTCTCGATATAAAAATTAATAACAAACATTGTAGCTATAATATTTGATAAACTTTACATCTCATTAAAAAAAAAAAATATATGTATATACAGAGAGAGGGAGGGACATTTAAAACAGGTCACCTGAATAACTCGCTTGTTTTTGACAATAGAAGGAAAAGTGTCAAACAAAAGTTGCTTGGTTTCGAGGGGCACATAATGTGATGTCAATAATTGTTTTTTTGGTGGAGGCGCTAAAAAGATATGAAGGTCACCTCCACTTTTTTAAATGGAATTATGTAATTTTTTTTAGATTACGTGATTCCTCTAATTATTTTGCATATAAAAGTATTAAGGTAGAGATACTAAAAGACCAATAGTTTTCGAGATATTTTACACTTTATTTTGATACATATTGACACAAAATGTTAAATAACTCGTAAACTGTTGACTTTTTGATTATCGTACCTTAATACTTTTGTGAACAGAATAATGAGATAAATCAAATGGTATAAAGAAAACACATAGTTGCTTATTTCAAAAATTATCCATTTTGTATACATATTTTTTTTAAAGCAACTATGCGTTTTTTTACACCATTTGATTTATCTCATTATTCTGTTCACAAAAATATTAAGGTACGATAATCAAAAAGTCAACAGTTTACGAGTTATTTAACATTTTGTGTCAATATGTATCAAAATAAAGTGTAAAATATCTCGAAAACTATTGGTTTTTTGATATCTCTACCTTAATACTTTTATATGCAAAATAATTAGAGGAATCACGTTATCTAAAAAAAATTACATAATTCCATTTAAAAAAGTGGAGGGGACCATATCTTTTTAGCGCCTCCACCAAAAAAAACAATTATTGACATCACATTATGTGCCCCTCGAAACCAAGCAACTTTTGTTTAACACTTTTTCTTCTATTGTCAAAGCGAGTTATTCAGGTGACCTGTTTTAAATGCCCCTCCCTGTACTATATGTTCATTTAGAAAAAAATACTACATATATATATTTGTAATTTAATATTTTATTTAAAATATACTTTGATATTTTATTTATTTTTATTGTAGATTTGCAAGTTTTTTTCGTAATATAATCTAGCTTTATCGTATTTTTTACATCAAGTAATAATCAAATTGCTTACCTCAGAATTGTTTGAATAATATATTGTCACAATTAATAGTACAATTTCGAGCGATAGAAATAGAAGCAGAAGTAGAATCTTCTTAATAAAAGTCATGATGCGAGGAGCGGCTTGTCTCTCAATAATGTGTCTTCCAGATTTAATAAATCACGTCTGTTCAACTCTTGTGAAACGATAACTTTAAAGAACTCGCCGTGGAGAGAAATATGCGGATTTATATATTTCATATCGGAAACGTGCCGGTTAATATGTACATAAGGCGAAATTGCAACGTGATGCATCTTCGGTTGGCACTGTTTTAGGATTTCCAAGAACGCGAGATGTTCGTGCGCGAAACGTCGTTACCGGGCTCCGTACATGAAAATAAGGATTAACGGAAGTAATAATAATAAACGCTGCTCATTTTCATCAATTTATATCAAAGGAACGAGAGATAGGAAATAAATACGAGATCGCACGAATCGAATTACATCGGTGCATCGACGAGGTACTGCTTACAGTTTCGTGATAAATCATTCAAGGACGATTGAGTCATAATTGCGATATTCGGGAGTATAATTATCACGATATTTGCATTCTGAGAAACCCTGATCGTAACTGAAAAACATAATATCATAATAAATAATGAACTTCAGAAATAAAAACAATAGTTTATTATCAGCTGTAATACGTAAATCTGTAGTAATCTTTATATATACAATATTTTTCGTTGAGAGATAATTATCTACAAGTTAACATTGATAGTTTATTTTATAGAAAAGAAATACAGAGATTAAATTATATTTAAGAGAGAGAGTATATATATATATATCAGTTTTTGAACATGGCTGGAGACACTACCGCGTCTCCTGATATATATATGTATATATATATATATATGTGTGTGTGTGTGTGTGTGTGTGTGTGTGTGTGTGTGTGTGTGTGTATGAAACAGGATTGTAATTCTAGAATTTATACATTGTTGCTCGCAATAAAAGCAGTTATTATACAATTATATATGCACATACATACATACATATGTATGTGTGTATGTATATACATATATTAAATATAAATAATACATATATTAAAAAGTCGTCATTTACACGCTTTGGATATGCTACTTTTTCTCAGCAATCATATTGTGGCACTCTGTACGTAAAATTGTTGCTCCTTATGATGTTGATTCCAGCACCGTAATATGGCATCACATAATGTGAACCATCCGCCGGTCCTACGATTTGAGTAGCTATCAGAATCACATCGACGAACTGGCCAAGAAAAAGGAACCCCAATGTGCTCAACTTGAGCAAGCCTAGAGCAGGATATCCAAGGTAAAATCGATCTATACCGAACATACCAAGAAATATCGAAAGCAGTAATGACGTCTCAAAGGAATATCCATTTCTGAAAACAATAATTAAAACGTGAATGTTCACAAACTGTATATAAATTTGCAGTATTTAACGCAACAAGAATATATTTTTTGTTATATTTGTTTTTTTTTGTTGTTAAAGAATGATATAGGTCCTTTGAATTTATTAGTTTTTATCATCAGTTTCAAGTTTAATTATATATTCTTAATCTATACTCTATAGTACAAGTCTATTTGAAAAATAAATAAATAAAATATTTATTATAAAATTTATTGCTTCTAAATTTAAATATGCATTAAAAAATTATTTCAAAAAACATTACTTTTTAAATAATTTCTTTACTTAAGATTTTTAGAACTCTATATATATATATATATATATATATACATATATATATATATGTTAAATATATATATGTTCTAGTTAAACTAATCATTGGGAGCTGATACCAGAATCTACAACACAGTTAAATGATTCTGAAAGACACTTGTAAAAACAAACTTACTAATTAATTTTAAGGGAACAAAATAATATATTTCATGTAAAATAAATGAATACTAACAATAAGTACATTTCAGTAAAAATAATCCAAATTTGCAAATGTAACATAAAGAAAATTGACAAATACTTGACAAATTTTGGACAAAAATATTTACAAGTAAACGAGTCCAATAAATCCATTGTGTCAGTCCCAGAGCTCTTTTATTACACACACAGTGCCTATCCCTTTCAATGTAAATTAACTTTTATTTTGGTTCATTTTACTCTTGATCTTTTTCTAATTCTTCAAATTAGATGAGAAGCGAGTTAAGTTAAGAGTAAAGATAATCTTAGCTATATACACTTTTTCTACCCTTGATGTATATTCAAATCTCTAGGATTCAATCCATATTTGTACTGTAACGTCCATAAAAATCTTGGTAAAAGTGGCTGTATTTTAATTAATTTTTTTTCAATTATTGAAGAATTGATTTTAAAAAAATCTCGATTTAGTAAATTGCATTGGGATTTCTGAGATCCCAATGTGTACAACTAAGATTAATTTACATTGATAAAAATGGGCATAATCATTCAAAATTATACTTACGTCCATTTGCAAGGTATATCCTTCTTGAAAGTGTTGTTGTTTGTTTCTGTACAATTAAGGCCATCGGCAGCTAGACATAGCACTAGCAAACATAAGAATTCAAGTTTAATCTTATTAGAATTATAATTCAAAGGATTCTAGCTAATCAAAACAAATTGTTTTTCTAAATATAGTACGTAAAAGAATAACACAAAAATAATACAAAAAAAGCCACATTCAAGGTTTAATAAATACAATGAAATACAAAGATAACTGCTCTAAGTCTACACTCAATTCTTCCAGAATGCAAGAAAAAATATGCATCTGTTTCACTTTACGACTAATGGTAATTCTACAATGTGCTCTTTCTTGCTATTTGTCTCTTGCCCATTCTTGCCTTTTTGACAACAAGGCAAGAGATAAACAGCAAGAAACAGGAAACAAAGAATACAATGTAAAATTACCATAAAATATTGAGAAAACAAAAAAATATGAGAATGTGAGATTGAGGTTAGGAATACTCCGAAATTCCAATCCCGGTGTTTGAAGTCGAGCTTCTACCTTTGGCCTTGTTTTCCTTGGTGCAGCCGCGCGGTTGCTGCGTCTTTGGATCTATGAAATCGTAATCGGGATGGGGGCAAATGTACTGTCCCATTCGCAAGTTATTGCAGTCGATCTGATACGTGTCCGCGCCATCGCACAGCACGATCACCGGCAAGAGGATGAGCAGCCCGCTAAAAAGTTGCGTCGAATGGGACATGCCGTTTCATTTTACGCAATATTATCCATTACACTTGCTAGATCTGGAAACACAGTACGATGGATAACGAATGCTCGCCAATGCTCACGTCGTCGTGTTTTGAAACACACCACGAGTCCACGACACCCAGAGTCAGTGTTGCCAAGTGTTGTTGTTTGCCCCAACAGTTCGGTTGTATGAAATCAAAAAAAAAAAAAAAAAAAAAACGCATAAAAACAAATAAGAATATTCATTGAAATTGAAGGTGAAGACCGTTTTCTGAATATAATTACCAAAAATATATAACAAAACTTGATATATCATAAATATATAACCACGGAGTATTATGTAGAGTATTATGCGGCATGCAAAAGTGTGCGTTGTGTGCTGCGGCCTTTAACTCACGCACCGCCGAGCGCCGCCGAGCTCCAACGAGCTTTTCCGAACGCCGCCGACCCCCGCCGCTCGACGCTTCGCGCACACGAACGTCGATCGGCGGGAAAAATCGTGACGTGTCGGAGAAATACGAACGCGGCATTTTTGCGCTATATCATGCCGCGCTCGTAATTAATCTGCCTATTCTTTTTCCTGATTCTGATCCTGATTCAGCTACTACAGCACGAGTGCGCCTGACCGTTGTGACGCGTGATGACGTTCCGATCCCTGATTGGCCGCTTGAGTTATTCGAACAAGACGCACGGTGGCTCGAGGCAAACCAGGCGAACGTTCAATTGCTCAGTGCTCACTGCTCAGTTCTGTTCTGAAATCCGGAGAATCATTCGATCGCGACGGTCGTGTTTCAGTTGTGGTGCTTTTAAAATCGTATATTTTTGAGAGTTGAGCCGGTTTTAACTGCGCATAGTTTCCCCCTTTTGATTGTTCCGCGAATTTGGACGAGTCGTTCGTCCTGACGCGTGTTATATTGCGGCGTGACGATGTGATGTAAGCGCCCGGTGTTCGAGCGGGGAACCATTTTCGCGGGGATTGTATTATCATTTTCGATTTCAACCTTTTTCTACAATTTCGAGAAGCGGGAGCTATTAATTAAAGAAGAAGAGGAAGAAGACGAACGAGCTGCTCGTCCGGGTAAAACGTGACCGATTCCAGCAGTCATTTTTACCACCATCTCATCCACCAACGTTCGACTTACACTTTAAAGGAGAGCGCGGTAATGTAATGAATATATTCCTTGCAAATATATATTTTACATCGCAATCTATATGTACGCTTTCCTTTTAGAGGACATACTCGACACAAATGTCGTTCTATCCTTGACATTCAACAAATGATAAAGATAGAACTATGTTTGTCGAGTGTGTCCTCTAAAAGGTAAACATAATGAACTTAAACATCGATGAGAACATGCTGGTCAAACTAAATTTCGGGTACTTCTGTATAATGCGTGTGAATTCGTATACTACGTATTGTAAGCTTGATACAGCAATATCAAGTTCCTTTATTTACAGCCTGGTTACTCTTGCAACGACCGGCAAGATACAACCACCGAACCACGTATGTATTGTATGTATGTACAATATGTGCTTATTTGTTTGCACTTTGTTTCGCTTTCTTAAGTGCAATCAGGATTTCGTGCAACACGAGCAGATCTATAGTTGGCGGGTAATTCGAGGTATTAGAGGTTAAAGCGGGGAGCACAGACTTTTGCATAACGCATAAAGCATGTGCATAAGGAATTTCATTGGCCCATTTTCTTATGCATGAGTCAATGGACCAATCAAATTCTTTATGTATATGGTTTATGCGTTATGCAAAAGTCTGTGCTCCCCGCTTAAATCTTAGATCGTATAGTATAGAAGGAGGATAGTCTCTTGAAAGTGAAGGCGAGTAGAGAGACAGAGAAAAATAGATTAAGATCATAGTTGGTAATGCGCATGACTGTAGGGAGAGAATGCGCGTGCAAACGAATTACACACAGCTGTCAGCTGCAGTACATTTGATATATAAATTTAAGGTTAAGGTTAAACGGCTAATAAATTATTTTGCGGTAATTATGGAGAAAACGGCCGACCTCACCGATTTTAATGAAACTAGGCTCATTCGACGCGTTTTTGCACGAAACGAAAGAATCTGGCAGAAAAAAGTGTCGCTCTGCCCTACGAACCGAGATATTAAGCGTTAAAGTTGACGACTATTCAGGTTAAGAAATCTGTCATACCGACTACATGTAGTGTTACGAGTATATGCCTTCTTCATGCTCTCTGACTTTGTGCGCATGCGTTAAGTTGTCTGATTGGTAAGTGAAAAATGTAACGAAATCTGAAATAGATTTTCTTTTGTTATAATTGTTAAAAGATCGTATTAAGATGAAGCTGCACGAATTCTTAGCACTGACTTACGATAGAGAAAGATTAATAAAGTTTTTGATAGAAACCAATATTATAATATCTGAAATACAATGTCCTAAGTGCAATAGTGAATTAATAATTAACATAAATACTCTTTTATTCCGCTGTTATAAAGTGCATTACAAAAAAGATAAACATAAAAAAAGAATAAAAACGAAGTGTGATTTTAAGACATCTGCTAAAGTAGATACATGGTTTTCCGAATCAAAATTAAGCTTGGAAACTATATGCAGATTAACTGCTTATTTCATTATGTTAAGACCTCCGCGCCAAGAGTTTTTGTGCACAGAACTTGATCTTTCTGACAAGTCAGTTGTTGATTGGATTTCCTTTTGCCGAGAAGTATGATGTTATACATTTAATATATTCATTTTATTAATGTATATTATTGTTTAGTATAAATACTGTTGGTAATTCCAATAATGAATAACATATTAAACATTAATAATATTTATGTCGACAAAAAATAGGTTTGCGTTTATTGGGCTAAAAAAAATTCAACAAAACTTGGAGGACCAAATAGCATTGTTGAAATTGACGAAGCTAAAATTGGCAAAAGGAAATATAATCGTGGTCGAATTATCGATGGAAAATGGATCTTCGGTGGATATGAACGCGATACAAAAAAAATATTTCTTGTACCTGTTGCAGATCGCACAGAAGAAACTCTTACTCAAGTAATTGAAGAATGGATTTTACCTGGGACAACAATAATGTCAGATTGTTGGAAGTCTTACAAGAATTTAAACAGTAAAAATTTCCAACATCTGACAGTAAATCACTCTATAAATTTTGTTGATCCAGACTCCGGTACAATATACATTTTAAATATAAAATTATACATTGCTTGTGAAATATATACAGAAAATGAAAAAAATGTTATGTCAAACTTTCAAAAATCATATATATCATTTTTATTTCTTATTTAGGAGCCCACACTCAACATATCGAACGCGTTTGGAGGGAAGTTAGAAGTAATATCCCACGATATGGAACACGTAGTAAACATTTAGTGGGTTATTTAGCTGAATACCTTTTCAAACGTGTTCATAAATATAACGAGCGATTACAGAGTTTCTTCTGTGTAATTGCAGAACTATATCCACCGAAGACCTTCCAGGATGAAACAGATGTTTCAGAGGCTGCAATATAAATTTATTATATTTTCATAAAATTATAAGTATGGAATGTTTTTTTTTTTATTTTATGTATCTATGTTTTTAAATGTCTGTTATTATTAAATGTCTGTTATTCTATTTTGTTTTAACAAATCATATATTTAAGAGGTCTGCCCCGGACAGTGCAACCGCAGAAGCCGCGCGCCCCTCAGCAGGCGGGGGGAGGGGGAGGGGGACAGAGGTCTGCCCCGGACAGTGCAACCGTAGAAGTCGCGCGCCCCTCAGCAGGGCGGAGAGGGGGAGGGGGACAGAGGTCTGCCCCGGACAGTGCAACCGTAGAAGCCGCGCGCCCCTCAGCAGGGCGGAGAGGGGGAGGGGGACAGAGGTCTGCCCCGGACAGTGCAACCGTAGAAGCCGCGCGCCCCTCAGCAGGGGGGGGAGGGGGAGGTGGACAGAGGCCTGTCCCGGACAGTGCAACCGTAGAAGTCGCGCGCCCCTCAGCAGGGCGGGGAGGGGGAGGTGGACAGAGGTCTGC